AAACTAGTTTTGATTTGGGGAGTCTTTGTCAGGAAACTAGTTTTGATTTGGGGAGTCTTTGTCCTGGTAGAGATGTAATATCGCTTATTGATTCTCCTGAAGTTTCTCACCATAAACCTATAAATTCCCCATTAGAAAAAAAAATTCCTCATGGTTCAGTTTTATCTATTTGCTAGGGTAATGCATATGTAAATATATTTTGGTTTTCATGTAAGTCTCAGTATGTGAATATCTGTTTTGAAATTAGTTTCCATTCCATGTAGAGGCTTGCATCTGAAGGAGGTGGTCAGACATCTTACTGTTTCTTCGTTCTTAATATTAATAAAATTTTGTTGCTGTGTATTTTTTAAAAAAGAGTATTTTGCTCCTTTGAAATAATGGCCAATATTCAAATAAAATTACATAGCAGTGTACAGGTAGTTGACTGAGCAAATGAGCTTTAGACTCTAAACACGCTTATTCAAAATTGCCACCAGGGAAGCATTGCTGTTAGGGAAACTCTGCTAGACTGGAGCTAGAGAAAGAGGTCTGCAGACTCACGTCTGATCACATCTGGTTGAATACTTAAAGCAAATAGTGCTTGAAGTTAACTAAGTTTCACTGCAGGAAACAGATTACCTTTCATCAAGGCTATAGGTAAATTGTGTGGTTGAGATTTTTAGACCTGCTTTTAAACAAACCTTGAAACAGGCAGTATTTGTGAGTTACTGTTGGGGCAGTGTAAATATGGTGACTTTGTATAAAGTATGAATGTGTTCATTTAATTGCAAATTGAGGGGAGAGGTAAATGCTGTAGGAAATTGTTCTATCACTTTCAAATTTCTGTTATAATTCCTTCAGTAGCTTCTAGTTTTCCTTTCTTTTTATTTAAAGAAAGAAAGCATTTGACCTATTTAAGTGTTTGGGAAGCGAGTTGTGCTCTTGAAGGTGAACAGATTGACAGTTGAAAACTGATAATTACTATTATCTAAAATAGTGTGCAGCAGTTGAGAACAGGCCTGACTTTAAGGGTTTCTTCTGGGTCTTCTGGTGACTTCCAGTTGTTTCAGACTGCTTGTGGATTCCTATGGTATGGTCAGTAATGGTTCTGGTATCTGTTTTTCTAGTTTCTGGGATTTGACTTGTAACATTCTTCTGAGTGTCTGAGAGGAGTTTCCTG